TCAACAAACCAGAGCAAGTTCAGTGAAGGATCTCCAAGATGGCTGAGGCTGGAGCTGTTTCTTTGTGAGAAGAAGCTGCAAGATTGGAGATTGTTTGGCCTGAGATGAGCTAGCTCTGTACACAGCTAACCACAGCCCCTCAGTACTGACCTCCTGAGGTCCTTTCTGAGCTGATATACGCTGTGACCTTGGGGCAGCGGCACTGCTTTGCAGGCAGGATGAAAAGCCACTATCAGGCACGACTCCTTTGGAGCAGCCTATCTTGCCCTACAGCTTCACGTGCCCCACAGCCTCATGGAATGTGTGGTGTGTGGCCTGCAGTCCATGTTGGCATTCCTGAAAATGAGGAGGGATGCCTGAATGATGAGTAAACATCTATAAAGAAGTAACCATGGCACAGTGGTTTGCATAATAACAACTTCCTAACAACTTCATAATATTAATCAGAATTTGCCGAGGTGTCCAAATCATCACATTGGATTTTGAATATTTTTCTAGTAGTTTAACTTGATCAGGTTTCCTGACTGTGAGTGTGCAATGGAATTGAAAGAAAGTCAGAGGACAATCATTTGTATCCAAGGGTGCAACTGAATGCTCTCCACCCTCTGCTCTTCTCCAGGCTCAGTTACAAACCCTTTTCTTCTGTTTCCTCTCTGCTGTAGACTTCAGCCCTAGATGTCTTAGAGGCTTATACCTTCTGGTGACCTAATAAAAATATAGATACATGGATGTGCTATGGGTATAGATACATGGATAAGCAATGGGACATAAAAGAATCCAAATCATTTACTTATGAATAATTAACTAAAAGATGGTATAACAGAAAGGAACTTCATTATTAAAAGTGCCAGAGTTGTGTTTTGGAATGCATCAGCACTTTTAAACTGCTGAACATTTGGAATTTATTTGGTATCCACAATGTTGTATAGCTATGTTTTGTTGTCTTAGAGTTTACCTCTCGTCTTTCCCTTTGTGAAGATTCTGTTTAAATCCCAAACCTGTAATATCTACAAGCCTGTAAAAAGACATGTAGAGTAAAAATTAAAAGTCCTTGTGGTCAGTTCATTACAGGAATCTGAAAGGTGGATAGAAGATTATTCCCAGATGTTTCAATATTTAAGTGTTTTCTTTAATTTTTTTTGTGGTTACAAAAGCATAAATTACCAAAGGGAGAAAGTTTGTATTACATAATCATGAAATAACTTGCCAGAAGTGAGAATTGCTACTGAGCTCTCTGAAGTTGCAAGTGTGCCTGAGGTGGTTGTGTTTGTTTGCAGGATGTTCTTGTGTAGTTGTTTAACTGTTCTCATCTTTTCTCTGTGGGAACAGCTTGTGTATTCTTCCTCTGGAGGCATCTAATCACACATGAAATGTTAGAAGGATCACAGAACCACATATTCAATATATTGCAATCTAAATCATGATTGCTCCCTGATATTTAGTTGTTTTAAATGTTAGTTTGTCTGGGAAATAATTTTTTGCAGGCTTTTGATTCTGAACATATTTATTTATTTCCTTCTGCAAAAGTGAGTTCAAGTACAAAGTTGAGCTAATTTGGGTGATTTATTTGAATACACTGGTACTGGTATTGTTTATAATTAGATGGTGTCTGTAAACATGATCCTTGTAATAATATTGTGTCTGTGCCCTTTGCTAGATACTCTTAGAGTGAATCACTGCTCATCTGTGCCTCAGTCTTGCAAAATGTCCATTGGGGATAGTAAGACCTGTGATAAATCACAAAATTATTGCACATTTTAATGAACAGGTTGAAGCAGGTGATTTGCAGGCAGGAAGGTAAACAAGAATATTTGTTGCTGTTAAGATGAAATCAATACCTATGGAGTCATGATGCTAGGAATTCAAATGTAAACAGTTCACTTCAGTTTTGCTCTGTATCTCTGAATGGATGTGGCTGCATTGCATAGTATGGTGCAATTTGGAGTAATATAGTTTGTAAGCTTAAAGACCAGTTTGAACTGAATAACTATCTCCCTGTAGTAAATACAGCTACATGTCTTCAGCTTACTTTCTCTACTGACTCTGAAGTTTGTGTAGACATGCTTTATGTTCTTCTCTTCATTTCAAATTCTATTCTTGGGATGCTTCTGTAGTGAAGTGCTGGAGAGGGCCAGGAAGACAAGTGAAGATCCAGCTCTCTGCCCTGATTAATTGTTAGCTCACTCCCTCCTTCTCTTTTCCATTTTCTCTGCAAGGCTGTAGTAAGATTTTGTTTTGGAAATAGTCCATCCTGTAGGTGTTGTGCACCATTGTGTGGCTTTCACCATTCTTCATCCCTATCCCAATCTGCACATTTGGGTCTTTGAAGGTTCACTCTGGGTTACAACTTACTGTCCAGGTTGTTTCAGATCCTCTAGTACTGAAACAGACTCAGTGCTAATGAGGTATGAGTTGTACAGATAACAAGGCCTCAGACCCCTCCACCAAGTGTGTTGAGGTGTGGATGTGATCAGCTGGTAACAGCTGGAGGCACTGCTAAGCTGTGTGGATGACAGCTAGAGGTAACATTTGTCTTGTGTGTTCAGCAGTGCAGACCTTGGTCATGGAGGCTGCTTTTGACCCACTGATGATCTGCCTCTTCTCTTCTGTTCTGGGCAGGTTGTCTCCTGTTTGCCCACTCTTCTTTCTTCTGTGTTGCCTAACTTTGCTTCTGCTCGTTGTCTTTTTTCTCATTTTTCCTGCTTACTTTTCTTTACATACTTTTACATTTCCTACTGTTCAAGCCTCCATTCCCTCTCTTGACCCCCTGAGCACCTAGGTCTCGATGCTGTGCTGAGTGAGAGCACATCTTACATGTGTTGTACACACGTGTGTCTGTGTACATTGCTGTCTGTGCATCCTGCCTGCTGTTTGCATTGTCCTCACTTCTAGCTCTGACAGAAGCCATTCCTAACACTGAGAGAGAAAGCAGATATCTTTCAAGAAGACATCAGCTATTCTAAAATACACAGTAAGCATTTTTGAGCCTAGGAGATGGAGATGGATAATGCCACTTTTCCTGTTCTCCTCCTACTGCCATTCTCTCCCAACTATTGCAGCTTCCTTTATGTAATAATTAGTAAAACTTTCTGATAATTCCAAGTCCTTCTTGATATAAACAAAAGGACAACCAGGACCCCCTATCAAGTGCAGGAAGGGGTTACTGGGGAGTGCTTAGTACTTGCCTCACCCTTGCACTTAAACACCTCCAGCAGCCTTGTCCTCCACTTTGGTCTTTTAGTGTAAGTATAATGCCCAGAAAATGGCAGTTATGCAATAGCAAATTGCAGTACTATTTTCAAATAAAGTTCTGGTGCACTCTCATGTTAATGTTCATTCATTATAATATGGATGTTTTACCAAGTAATTTGCTTTTCTGAGAAGCTGCGAACATTAAATTGCTGAGGATTTAATGACCTTGAGGTTAGTAGCTTATTTGAAGCAGAGTGTTAAACTATATAGATTTTAAGTATTAGTTTTGCCAGGAGAGAAAACTCAAGCATATTTTTTCCATGTGCATTTCCTTTCATCTGACTAGAAGAAATTACTGTATGAGGGAAGAGCAACTTTCTGTTCTTCTTCACATCTCCTTAATGCTCTTTTCCTTCCCAGAGGACTGTGGCTCATCTGCAGATGGAAGGAGGGTCAGTGTGAGAGTTTTTGGAACGTCTCTAGGTGATATAACCTGGTCGTAATCCTCATGCGTTTTTACTAACAAACAAAGATTATTTTGATTGTTTGTTTACTTGACTTTGGAAACCATCAAGCAAACAAAAATTTCACCACGTTGCATGTTTTCCAAAATATATCTATGTAAGAGCAAGAAAATAGTTCCAAATAAATGAGATTATTTTTCCTAGTCTCCTCCTGGGAACAAGTAGTTGTTCAGGAAAGCCAGTGCATACCTTGGGTAGAAAGCCTCATTTTGCTGCTGTTATTTAGCAAGGATTGTATGACATTATTCTTGGTTTTGAAGGGCTGAAGTGAGGAGGAGAAAGTCAACAGAAGGACCAGGAGCTGAGGTGATGTACTGTGCCTTCTTGTCTAGGCATGCTTTAATTAACAGAGCCTGCTGGTCATTAAGTTGTCACATACCTCAAGTAGTCTTTGAATAACATCTGTAGTAAGGATGTGCCTCAGTAGTGCTAATGAATACTTTGATTTTTTTCCCCCCGTTTTCAGAGGATTTCCTCCATTCTCATCTGAATTAATCACCACTGACTATTCTATTAGCATAAGGATTTTATAGCTCTGTATTACTGTTATTTCTGGTGTTAATATAGGCAAAGTGCGTGGTTGGTTCAGACTAGGCAGCATGTACTATCAAAAGATCAATCAGTCATAATAACAAAGGTTTGAAAGACCTTTCAAGGGGACCTTGAAGCCCATGCAGCTCCAACCCCCTGCCATGTGCAGGACTGCACCCTAGCAGCTCAGCTGCCCAAGGCCCCATCCAAACTGGCCGTGGGTGCCTCCAGGGATGGGACTCCACAGCTTCTCTGGGCAGCTGTGCCAGCACCTCACTGCCCTCTGAGTGAAATATTTCTTGCTAGCATCTAAAATAAATCTCCCCTCTTTCAGCTTAAAGACATTCTCTCCGTCCTATCACTGTCTGACCATGTAAAAAGTTGTTCTCCCTCCTGTTTATGAGCTCCCTAATTATCCATCAAAATACATTAAATAAAAAATACATTACAAATGCAGAGTCTTATAGGACAGCTTGCAAAATGATGAAGAGTTTAAAAGTAAAATGCGACTCTTTGCTATTTCATCAACCCAAATCTTTCTGTTTGAACATAGAGATACCTGCAAAATAAACATAAACCAGATCAGTGCTTTCAAACAAAATTCAAGCTGTAAGAGGGGTCATCAGTATAAAATAAATTTGCACCAGTCACACCCAGAATTATTTCTCTTAGATGTTGGATGGTATCCAGTGATGGAAAAATATGTATGGAAAAATAGTGCATTGTTTTACATCTTTGCTTTTTTCCTCACAGTACAGTGCTGTGGATACAAATCCTTTATCAGTGTATGTCATGCAGCCCATCTGGAACAAAATCATTAAGGTAAGAGTCTTACTAAACAGAAATGTCACACAATAATGGAAGAATTTGTTTTAAATAGAAGTATTTTCATTTAAGGATACATATTGATCAGTGAAGCTGAAATTAGGACATGTATATGAAAGAACCCATATTACTGGATATATAGCTATAGTTAGGATGAATATGTTTGGATTTAGATGTGTTTTTTTTTTAGAAAAGCAAGGTTGTATCTTTTTCTTTACCGTTATACAAAAATCATCAGTTTCTGTTACATCTTTCATTAAACAGCTTTGCAGGCATTAAAGGGTTTAAGTGGTACACATTATTTTTGTTCAGCATATGCCACCTAACAACAGCGTGACTGAATCTCTGCTGTGCAAGTCATTTTATGCAAGTGCTGTCTCATTTTCTCCCCTGGGTACTTGCTCCAGGGAGCCAGACGTTTCTCTAAGAAGCTGAAAATGAAAGCAGTTACCATGATCACCATAACGATTGGGAGATGGCATCTCTTGAATGCATTATGATCTTCAGTTCTTAAATATAAAGCTGCTCACAATTAGTTTTGCTGTTGTTGGCAAAAGCAGAAGCTGGATCTCAATAATCGTAAACTTTATTGATCTTCAAGAAAGCAGAGACCACTGCATCTGTCTCTGAAATGGAAATCTTTGGATTGGAGTAGACTTGAAAGGAAATGTATATGCAAGAAAATGTATGCATGCGGTCAGAATCTGCCACATTTGGGTTTTATAATCCAGCTGTTGCTTATGCTCGATATAGCAGAAAATTGTAATCTCTCGTGAATTACCTCAATGTAGTTTTATAATTGCACATCCTAACTTCAGAATTAGAAAATAACTGGAACCGATATGAAAGAAATACCAAGACCCAAGCTGAATTCAGTGATTTAGTTATGAGAAATTTGTTTCCATTTCCATCATAATGTGGGGACAAACAATGAGAGACCCCCACTCTGAGTCCCATGCAGGAGATGAGCTGAGGCTTTGTTGCATGTTTGCTCTGCGCTCTGAGGGATCCAGACTGAAAGAAGAGCACCACAAAGATAAACCTACCTTGGGGTTGAGTTCTTCTGCAGTTGCAGAGTTTTGGAGTAATAGAGTCATTGAATCATAGAATGGCTTGGGTCTTCAAAGATCATCTAGTTCCAATCATCCTGCCATGGGAGTTTTCCTGGAAGGAAAACAGTGCATTGTTTGTCATACACACTGAGCACAAGGCGATAGGTCCTTTGAAAAGTTTGACCTCCAGATACCTTCAACCTCCTTGTATGCTAGCTGAGTATGATTTTGTCCAGAATAGAAACCAAAGCTGAGCACAGGGCTGAAAGTGGGAGGTAGGAGTGCAGAACCAAGGCCTGTAGAGTTGCTGCCTGTAACCTCTGTGAAACTATAGATTAACAATTAATTTTTTCTACATGTTATTTAAAATTATTCTAATTATGCAACTGTGGACATTTCTTCTTAGGAATTATTTAATCCATTGCATGATTCTTATGCCTTATGCCTTTAATTAAGGTTTGTGTTTTATAATAAATAACCATCACACGCTGTCTGGCAGATAATAGGCAGCATTACTTGGCTACTGCACTCTTCTTCCTGCGTTTGTATTCATGAGGAGTCATGTCTGTGTGGGAACAATAAAAGGAGGAAGTCCCAGTAGGAGACACAGGTGTATGCCATCTCCACTGAAGTCAATTAACCACCTCCCCAGGTCCCTTTATGAACTTTGATTTTATTATTAGAACTGTGCATGAGTAGAATTCTAGCGGTCTCAGGTGACCTACTTAAGGAATATCTCAAGTTTGAACAGAGCCTTATAGAAATACTGGTACTTCTCAACTCGTTATCCAAATAGGCAATCGATTGTATTAAAATATTTGTTGTCTGTATTAAGGCTTTTAGCATGAGTGACTGTGGGCCCTTTAAAACAGGCATCAGTATTCTGTAGAAGTAGGTTTTTTAAAAGGTTGAAGTATGGAATGGTTTTGCAAAAGAACAGATATGATTCTTCCTACTGGAGCCTCCAGCTGTATTAATCGTGTAGTGTATGGGTGTGTTAGCTTTCTGCTGTCTGTTAATTAGACAGTAAAGATTCAAAGGTGTCCTTAATTAGCATACTATGGTGCTAGTGAAGTCAGGCTTTGGTTTTCCAATGTATTTGTGAAGTTAGTCATTACTACACTTTAATTTACAATTTATGAAATAAGACAATAGTAGTGTAATGCTTGACAAAAGAATAAGGGATATTGAATACAACAAAAGAGATTTTGCACTTGGAATATTTTCCAAATACATGGGCAGTTTAGGTCAGTAAAGGATTGAAACAGTGACTGTAATGAGAGGAAGGGATCTTTTCCTAAGGACAGAACTCCTGTAACCATTTTTCATTGCACATCTGCTAGCCAAAGGATTGGACGTACCTGTAACAGTGTGCAATCCCTAAAATACAGGTTTGTATTTGTACTAAAATCTCTATCTTAGTAAGTTTCAACGGGATGAGAGAAAATGACCTTAAGTTGCACCAGGGAATGTTCAGGTTGGATATTAGGAAAAAATTTTTCTCAGAAAGAGCAGTGAGGCAGTGGCACAGGCTGCCCAGTGAGGTGGTGGAGTCACCATCCTGGAAGCGTTCGTGAAGCACGCGGATGTGGCACTGAGGGATGTGGTTAGTGGGCATGGTGAGGGTGGGTTGATGGTTGGACTAGGTGGTCTTAGGACTTCAGTGATTTTATGGTTCTGTGTCCTCTGTACAGAAAGAAGGAGGTGTGCTCTGTCACTTACATCCATAGCATGCAGCTGCTTTACTCTTCCTCGGGAGTTCCCTGAGAGGAACTTCAGCAAACGTTTGCCATCAATTGTTCTGAGGGATTTAGAATTGGGGTTTCAGAAATTCAGAATGATATAAGCATACATCTGCACAGCAACTGTGTGCATTACATTATGTACTTCAATTACTGTAAGAACTGACATACAGTATTTTAAAATTAGTGACAAAAACCTAGTGGTAAAGAATGCAGCTATCAGATTTAATATTTTTTCCAACGTTATTAAATAAAGCAATGAAGATATATAGTTGAGAAGTATTCAGAAAATTTCATCTGAGTTTTGAGTTTACAGTGCACGTTATCAGTTGTACTGATTATCTGGAATATTATTCCTTGGCTGTACAGTACTAGCAAAGCAAGGATCTAATCATGATGATTGATCTGTCCAACATTCTTATTTCTATATACAATTTTTAGGATAGAGGAAATATAAAATGTATACAAATTAATATCTATTCATCCATCTGTTTGTTTACCTATTCCAAACAAATTAACGAGTTGGATTTCAAAACAATATTAGTGTATGAAATTATTCTACTCCCTTTTTCTATAATATTTGTGCTGTTTTCTAATATGTTACAGTGTTTAAGTCCACCTTCATATACATTGTCAGTCCTAAAACAGTCCATAGGATTTGATTATAATCCTCCAGTATTCTTATATTTTGCATATATCAGTGGCTGCTGTTTGAACAATATTTGTGCACATATTTTCTGTCTAAAAAATAATGCAGGATGCTGTGTATGTAACCTCAGAAAACATTTTGAAGCAAATGGGCAATTTGGAAAGAGCATTGCCCTGATGGCAGTATAAAGAATACCTTAAAGCCACAGGAGATAAATGGTTGAAAAGGGTTAATGGGACAAAGAATTACTGGCTTAGGAGGAAACAGAATCTGTTTCTACACTCCACAAAGTAAAAAAAATAAAAATAAAAATAAAAGTGTAATGTTTATGATTTATAGGTAAAGATGGAGACCCTGCAGAAAGTTACTGTCTGGAGAAGTAGGGAACTATTTGTAATACAGAGTTCTTCTGAACCTAGAAGCATATGATTTTGTTGCTATTCTGAGTTGGGAATTATTAGCATACTACAGAACAAATTTCCTTACTGCAGTTGGAAGTAGGAAGCCTGACAAAACCCTGCCACGTTGATGCTGAATTGCCACACTGGGGTGCTGCAGGCCTCTTTCGTTTGCAGTATACAGAGCAATGAGAAGCTTTCCCTTGTGTTGAAGAGAAGAAGGAGAGCATGTAATTGAGGAAATACAACATTTTTACATTAAGCTTCCACTGCAGTCTCGAAGATCAGGCAAAATGATGACATGTGAAAATAAAGTACTTAAAAAAAACTGAATGGTAAATTCAAAATGGAAAAACATCCACAAATCTAAGTATTACTCACGTTGTTTACAGGCTTCTCATCTCCTGATGAAAACACAAAACATTTCATCAAAATAGGACTTTTAATTTGAAACCTGATTTCTTAGATTTCTCCTTTTCTCTTTAACAGATAGTGCCTTTGTGGATTGCTCCAAACCTGCTCACCTTTTCTGGATTTGTCATGATTTTAGTTAACTATTTTCTAATATCTTTTTATGACTGGGACTACACTGCTTCGGGTAAATATCCTCATACTGTAATTTATTTTTATTTTTATTTTTTTTACAATTACAGTTGCTTATGTATGATACAGGGGGAACAGATACCTGAATCTTCCTCTCATTCCCATAATGTACATATAGTAGGGTCTGACCTCATGCATGGCATGATAAATTTAGATCTTTTTTATTGGAAAAACTGAATTTCATCCCTAAATATAGGTTTCAGCATATGCTGTTTGAACTCTATGATAGTATCTCATTTTATTTAAAGTCCATGCCAGGATTTTAATGAACACTCAAAGAACAGCTTAACATTCTTCATAAAGTTTTCATTGGTTTCACATTTCCTAATACCTGAATCCATGTCACGAGTGTGTTGATTCCCCTTCCATTATTACATCCTTTCACTATTCTAGACTCCCCCAAAAAATTTCTAAACAGATGTATCCTGAAATTCTCTCACTCCAAGTCCAAATCTCCATTTTCTCCTTGTGAGAGTCCAAGTTGAAAGTTCCTTAGAGTTGTTCCTGAGTGTAGGCATTGTTCAGTTCTGGTCTTCTCAGATCAGTTGTTGAAAAAAAAAAAGACCTACAGCCAGTAGCAAGCTTCTCCCAGATAACTAATACATAAAAATATTTGCTTTTCTTTAGACAATCTGGGGAAAGTTTAGCACTCCAGCACTTCACGTTCCAGAATAACTGCATTAGATTTTTTAAATCACTTTTAATTTCTAATGCCTGTGGTTGGATTTTGTGTGGTAGTCTTTTGTAGTATGTATATTACAACAATTCTGTGGGAAGAGTGATGTGCAAGCAGTTTTGGTACAAAAATAGTCTTGTATGAACACCAAATTCTGAGGTGTCGTGAAGCTTGGGTTGCCTATATTCATACTTCAACACTTGCCTTTCAATCAATGAAGCTGATAATTACCAAGTTCTGTAATAGTAGAGAATCCAGCACAGAACCTTTGACAGGATAATTGCATTAGGTGGATACATACTAAACATGAAGGATTTGTGACAAAGTTTGTTCTTTTGTGTGTAGTCTGCAGGCCTGCTCTTAGCTTCACAGGAGAACAGCATCCGTCATTTCTGAATTGAAAACGCTCATGCAATCCAATGAATCCTTTGAATATTGCATATCAATTTCATGCACAGGATCAGAAATAAAAGCCCCAATTTCCTGGACAGCTGTCTTTCATTCTGCAGATTGAAAACATGCAGCTAGGAGCCAGGAAGCGCCTTCTTCCCTTTCCTGCTGGCAAGGCGAGGCACTGAGGGGCGGGTGGTCTGAGGGGCCTTGCCTCAGGTGCCAGCCTCCCCCTGCAGTCTTGGGTGCAAGCCTCACACATGGGTGTTGGATGGAGGCTGCACGTGAATGGCTGCTGTTGTAGCCCTTACTGGGTTACAGACAGTTTAAATAGAACACCCTTGGAAAAAACATTGATTTCTTGAAAAGAGCAGCCTTGGGTTACTGACAGATGACAGAACCTTGGGTTCAGTCCAATTCAACTTTCTTTTTTGCATTCACTCAAAGTTATCAAGCACCTTATCAAAAGGAAAAAAAAAAAGTACTAATATCTGACCTAGTCAAAAGGGTTACCCACACTAAAGGAGTTACCTTTTATGACATAGGCAAAAGTCTCCTGTTCGGATTTGTATGGAAAGCTGATAAACAAAACCTGTATTTACACTAATAAAAATGATCAAGCTTAAAAACTACAGTTTCCAGATGTGTTTGTTTGTTTGTTTTTTAAAGGATATTTCATAAACATTAACTAGTTTTCTGATATTTCATTCAAAACATTTCACTATCTTTGACACTGGGGGCTCATCAGTGGCAGCTTGTTCATGTCTGTCTGTTCGTCTTGGTGGAGTGCTTTGATATTAACCACTGCTGCATTTTTCAGGTACCAGCCCTGGACGTGTTCCAACCTGGGTGTGGCTGTTCAGTGCTTTTACCACCTTCTGCGCTTATGCCTTAGGTAAAGTACAATGGATTGATGCTTCTTATAGTTTGATCTACTGGCTCCCTTGTACTGCTTCCAAAAGAGTCATAACAGAGAAATTATTGATCTCTCTCTAAGTTCTAAGTTGAAAATAAAAATGAAAACCAGTAGGGTTAAAAAACCACCAATTTTTAAAGATGCTTTTGTGCTCCTATGAGTGCTCCCTTATCTCTTTTCAAAGTGTAGATGTTTGTGAAGTTATAATATAAATAAAGATCGTTACATAGCAGCAGTTATTGCTGGGTTTTCTGAAAATGGTTGGCATGCAGGAGTGATGCTCTGAAAAAGTACCTGACACCTGCATTTTCAGAGATCGCTTTCGAAGTCAGGGAAAATAAAGGACAAAGCAGAGAGAAAGGAAAATGAATGTAGCATTTTAATCTGAGAGACACTTCAGTGCTTATGGGCTGTGTCAGCAGAGAGGGTGTGGACAACTCCATTATCCTGAGCATCTAAGGAGATGGGGTACTTTTTTTTTTTTTTTTTTTTTTTTTTTTTTTTGTCTCTTCTAGGGCTGCTTTTCTTTAATAACATATCAACAGCATTTTTTTGTTTTATATTCCATATTTACTTTTACCAGTATACCAAGATAGTATTTCTAGGTCCAGCACACCTTGCTGTGCAGTTGTGTGAAGCTACACCTCAGTGAGTTCAGACGTAGATGTAAACTGTTGCAGGTCTCAGAGTGGCATCTGCACCAGATGGATACATTCCCCTCCAAAGCTAACTCTGAAAAAGCAGGCAGTACATCAGAGCTCATTTTGGGGGGATTCAAGCTGATATATTTACAAGCATTGCACAGTGTTGCATGGAAGTATCTTCTGGAGCTGGTTCTTGTAAGGCACTGCATTGTGCAGTGTAGCCATGTAGTTGAGTGCCGTACTTCAGATATCTGGACTAGATGCCTGTGTTCTACACATGCTGAGCACTTTTAGTGTCAGACTCATGTATGTGGAACTATCTTCATTAGCCCTTGTGTTTTCCATTGTGCAGACACTTCCCTCTGTACTTTGAGTACCTTAGCATTTCACATTCACGTTGGAGTTTGTGCCAGAACTACTTTCTGCAGAATGTCTTTGTTTTTGTTTGTATCATGAACATCACTGGGACAACCATCACTTGACATTGATTACCAGTCAGATTTCCTAAGCAACTTTCCTTAATCGTTATCAGAAGCAGCAGCTTCTTTTACATCAACTGTTTTCTTTGTAACTGTGAGAAAGTTAATCAAATAGCCGTTGTTTCACAAATAGGAATTTCATGTTGGAGCTGTTACTGTATAACATCTCAAAAACCTGTCTGGATATTGAGCTTTGGAGGTTTTTACAGTAGATTTTGCGAGTGAGGCCTATTATTTCTAATACTTGGAAGGCAGGGAACATGATGCTGACAGTACAAGCTATAATGAACTAATATATATGTAGATTTTTGTATCTGCTGTCCAAGCCACTATATGAAATATTTAGTCTCCGATTTAATCCTCCATGGCCAAAGTTTTCCCTTTGGAAGACTGCAAAGAGCCATAGTAACTAACCAAATATGCAACTTAAATCTCTCTCAGCTTCTTTTTAATGACACAGTTACTCTCTCCAAATTCCCTAACATGCTGCTCTTTTTTTCCCCTCTTTGTTAAGGTGGTTTGGTTAATTTTCCCTTTCCATAAAGGGGACTATTTTTCACTATTATTTCGAGTTGCAATGCTTCAAAGTCATATAAACTTTAATAAAACTGAAGATTTGTGAACCTTCATGAGAAATAATATTAGAATTCTAAAGCAACAGAAATGTGATACAATATATGTCCACTATGGCATACAGTTATTATCATAAGTGATTTCCAACTGACACCTAAATTTTCAATACCTTGAAAAGCTGGTGAAATTGAATGGAAAAAAAAAGGGGGATAAGATTTTGTGAAAGTCTAGTTTTACATATGCTTTACAAAGTTACTGTATTTCTTCCCACACACATTATAATTAGAAGCAGTATGTTTCTTGACATTATTCATGTAAGATTTTTTTAAAATGAAAATATTCCTAAAACATGAAGGCCACTGTTTCATTGTGATGTACATAGTTTAGTATCTAATGTGAGTATTCCCTTGAGAAAATCTCAAATAACTTATGAATAGACTGCAATGTGATAGAAGGCACAGCAATGACAGCAGAGAAGCAAGATCCTAGGCTACCGCAAGTGAGGGCTTCCTCAAATACAACAGCTGGGGGCAGAGAAGCAAAGGAAAGAAACTTCTTACCTTCAAAAGATCTCCTAGATATAAGGATCTCCAACAAGACACCCTTGCCTCCATTGCCAACCCTTAAATGAAGTCTGGGATCCAGGATCCACCCTTTCTTGTCACTCAGGTTCACTGCATACACCTGAACTCCCCTGGGTTGGTCCTGCCTTCTCATCAGGCTCTCAGTCACTGGTACAGGTCATGACTAAGCATTGCCAATCTTTTATCATCCTCATTTTTTTAAAAAAGAACTAACCCTAAAACTGAGATCTGTCTAATCTGGGATAGATGTTCTTGAAACAAGAAAGACCATATGGTGCTTAGAAGTGTTCAGATATCTGATTGCTAGCTAAGTTTCAGAAGCATCATTTAACAGACTAAAGAATTTCTGCACTTCTAACACATTATTCAGGTAACCTCAGGCTTATATGCAGTTTTCTTTCTGCATGTTTCAGTAAGGTGCTGCTAACTCAATGGCAATGTTAATGGAGAGAGAATGTGGCTTGAGAAGGGAGCACTTTGTGGTCTTTCGTCTTTAGAGCTGTGAGAACTGCCTCAAGACATTTGTATCTGAGTCAAGAATATCTCACAGCTGTGCAGGTATGACAATAGGGAGATAGTCTACATTCTGTGACAAAATGAAATTTCATGTTTTTCTGGTTTAGTTCCCTGAAATATATTTACATTAAACAAAACCCAGTGCTGCCAAATAATCCAGAGAAGCTGCATATGATCTATAGCAGCTGTGGATTTTTGGTCTCACTCTGCAAAATTGTCCCTTCAGTCAACTCGGGGTTAATAATGCTATCAACAGCCAATAATTGTTGGCTGTGATAACTTCCAAGTAAAATAATAGTAAAAAATATATTATCCTAGCTATTACACCAAGTAATTTTTAAGAATTTTTCTGTTTACTTTTTCTGAAGAGGTTCATCCTGTGTACTGAACCTTCTCCTGCACTGAACTTTGATAAAGAAACTACTACTAAACATCCTCACCAGCAGGGCTGCATAGCAGAGTCTGAGGGCATGATTTGATAGTAAGTTTAAGACAGTTTTTGGCTGCCAGGCCTTCCACCTCCCTGCCTTCCCCACCTCTCCTTTGTGCCACCTCCACTGCTTTTTGTATTTCCCAGAGCCAACCCTGTTCAGTGACCCAGACCTAGAAGAACACAAAAGGTCTGGCTGTTTTTCTGTGAGCTGAGCAAGCTGCATGTCTTCCCCTGCTCAGCAGCAGGGAACTCTCAGGGTGGCTCTGGCCACAGTGACAAACCGTGTTGCAGAGTGAGAGCCATTACAGCGCTTGGCCATCTTTCAAGCACCAGTTCCTCACAGGGAGCGGAGGGGCAGCACTGAGCTCTGCTCCCTGTGACAGTGACAGGGCTCAAGGGAACGGCACGGAGCTGCATCAGGGGAGGGGAACTGGGGTTAGGGAAAGGGTCTGCACCAGAGGGCAGTGGGCATGGAGCAGGCTGCCCAGGGCAGTGGGCACGGCCCCGAGCTGTTGGAGTCAAGGAGTGTTTGGACTATGCTCTCAGATATAGGGTGGTCCTGTGGAGCCAGGGGTTGGGCTCGGTGATCCTTGTGCATCCCCTCTAATTCGGGATATTCTGTGATTCTATGAAATGCCTTAGTGAATTTACCCACAAGCATTCTCCGTGAAATGTCAGAATGCCCACAACAGCAACAGATGGGCATGAAGCCATGTGGGCACTTTCCTGCACGTTCACTGAGACACTGTCTGCAGGGACTGACATGAAAGTGTGTTAAGGCCACTGGAGACAAATGTTTCTGAATGTGTTTCTAACGGGTGTGAGGATGTTGGCTTTTAATAGAAGAACTGAGGTAAGAACAATGCTACATAAGAACTGAGGCAGTCCTAAATATGCTGGTTTTGAGATGATTGTGCTTCAGTTTGCTGTCAAAAGTGCATTTTTCCCAGGTACATATTGCAGTAAATTGTATGTATATATATATAACAACATATATGTAGTTAAATCTATGTGAGAAAACTACTCTTCTTGTTGTGTTCTAATCCTTTGTTTCTTTTTCCTTTCCAACCCTTTCAGATTCCATAGATGGGAAGCATGCTCGAAGGACTCAGTCCAGTAGTCCTCTGGGAGAACTGTTTGACCATGGGCTGGACAGCTGGGCTACCTCCATTTTTGCACTCTCTTTTTTTTCTGTCTGTTCCCGGGACAATGGGAAGACTGGAGTTTCTGTATATACAATGTATATGTATTTAAGCATTGTCTTGTTTAACTTTATGTGTTCACACTGGGAGAAATATAACACAGGAGTTCTTTTTCTTCCTTGGGGATACGATTTAAGCCAAGTGGTAAGTATTTATCATTCCTGTTTTATTTTTGTTTTTATTTTTTTAACTATGTTAGTGTTTGCATAATATTACTGAAATAGAAAAAAACATAGCTCAAGGCAAATGTATTTGGCTAAAAGTTTGAGTGTGAAATTGAATAACCCTAGAAGTAATTTAGAAAAATTTCCTGCGTTTGCAAAGAAAGGGCATTCTCAAGCAAATTGTCAGCACTGGGGATTCATTGCCTTGTAGGAAGAAGATTTGCAGCAAGCTTAGCAACTGGATGGCATGCGTGAGAATGTCATTTAACTGCCTTTGATTTGTGAAATTAACAAAAATTGTTATGCTCTCCAAAGCCGTAAGCAATTTTCCCACCAAAACTAGGTTCTGAAGCAGTGTGCAAATTAGTCCAGAGTTTATTAATGTAATTACACAGGTGTGTACATTACTAGGCCTGACCAGTTCTCCTAAGTCTTAAACTGAATGTGATAATATAAACAGCACTGTACATACTCAGTGAGCATCCACTGTTGTCAGGTGATTTCCACCCTTGAAAAATGTTAGATTAATTATTTGGGAATTATGTAAACTAGATTCAGAACGTGAATCATTTATCAGTCCACAGCCACCTTGCAGCTGACTTCTTGCCCAGCTTACAGCCCTGCCACACGATGGACATCTTCACAAACACGAGCAGTGAGGTTGCCACTTGCCGTAGTGACCTCACTGTGCAAATGAATGGTAGCAGTGGCAGCAGCATCATGTGTTGCCAAGGGCCCTGTGCTTGGATTTTGGGGCTGGCTAGGCTCTGAGACAGCCAGATAGCCAGACTCTTGCAGTCTGAAAAGCAAACTCCCAGAATTCTGAGATTCCTGTCCCAGGCATGGGATAAAAGGTACAGCCATAATTGAAAAGAAGTCTGACAAACATTCAAATACGTGTGTTAATGGAAATATGGTATTTGAATTAACGGCTGCAGATGTATTGCTGTAAACATAATCAGAATCCAGTTGTTTGAGAACAGCTCGGAGACGGTGGTCCAGCTGTGGTGCATCTGTTTTATCTCCTAGGAAATAGGTTCTGGGAGAAGAAGTTGGCTCAGCACTAAGACATTAGGCAGCCAGCTGGTCTGCGAGTTTGTGCTGTATCTGTGCAAGGCTTCTCAGTGAAGTCCTTTCAGCGGGAGATGAATGGCTGTGCTCAAACCAATTTCACTTGTTGCTTGGGTGATCGCCACAGATAAATATATGCACATTTAGAAAGATCTTTTTGATTGCAACCTCATCAGAACTGTGTGAGTGCTTAAATGTGGGAGTGGATATCAACTAATGAAGCCGTACTGTTAAATCTTCCAGTGCCTTTCAGTGACCTAGGCCCCTGCAGCAGCTTTCCCATCTGGGAAATAATGTAATAACATTTCCCCACCTCACAGATTTGTGGTGAGGCTTAATTTCAGTAGAGTTTGTAAACTGTTTTGATTATCTTGGATGCAAGGTGCTAACAAGTGTTACTTCCTCTTCCCCTTTGATGCGGAATTGCTGTCCTATGTGTTTTCTTTCTAGCAACTTCTGTGATGATTAACTTACAGTGAAAATAATAAGCATATAAATGTAAGGGTTTTTTAATGCTCAATTGCATAATCATCAACAGTGGCGGTAGACTGTATTATTGAAATGTCTCTATGTCCGTTTTTCCATCTGCTAAAATCAGCTTTTGTAGTTGTGATTGTCTGAGCAAAAAAACGAGACATAACGTGTAGATAGAGGTAGTATTTTTTGCATTAGTTCAAAGCAAATATTGTGCACATCAGAAAGACCCATACGTATTTTTTTCTGGCTGTGCTAAGTAGTCCAGTGAAAGACATTAATTCTGGAATAGACACTGCCTTGCCCTTGTTTTTCAAACTGGTCCAGTAATGTAGTATGATGGGTGCACTCTTCATAAAATCACAGTGTTATAGACCCACTTGGGTTCGTAGAGACCTCAAAGATCATCCAGTTCCAGCCCCCCCCCCCGCTGCAGACAGTGCTGTCAATTGCTAAACCAGGTTGCCCAGTGCCCGATCCGACTTGACCTTGAACACTTCCAGTGACTGGATACCAAGAACACCAGCAAGTGGCTAATGAGAAACAAGAAAGAAAATGCTTTTCTTGCTGCTTTGGTTTTTTGGTTTTTTTTTTTTCCCCTCAACTCGTCCACCAGATGTTGCCACAGTCGCATTCAGAGGAAGAGGGTGAGGCAGCACTTGCAGGCTGTTTTCAGGCTGCTCCCATGTTCACGATTTCCTACACGGCATTCCTAGCTGAGTTGCTGCATGAGCATGCCTCTGTGCTCTGTCTTAAATGATTCCACTGGCAGTATGATGTGATTGCATTGGCATGCCAGAAATTCAGGTGGACTGGTCCTCTGCTCCAGCTTTTAAAACGCATGGCATCCAGGAACATAGGATTTCATTATCATTACAAAGCTCAGGAAGTACTGCTTTTAATATAAGTGTACAGATAAGTAACTTAGAATCATAGAATTACAGAATCGTAGAATCACCAAGGTTGGAAAAGACCTCCAAGATCATGTAATCCAACTGCCCACCTATCACCAGTATTTCCCCACTAAACCATGTCCCTTAGTACAACATCTAAATAATTTCTTGAGTACCTCTGGAAGTGGTGATTCAATCCCCACCCTGAGCAGCCCATTCCAGCTCTTATCCACTCTACCACTCTTTTGGAGAGGAAATTTTTCTTAATATCCAACCTGAACAGAACACTGCTGCTGAGTCAGCTCCATTGCATATAAATACGGATGGTCCTCTGACTGGATCTGCGTTAACTTGGTGTTAAAAGAGCTGTTGTACCCTGGGAAAAACTATCTCGTTACAAATAGAGACATTTGTGGAACTTTGCTGATCACATTTTACTGTGTTTTGATGACTCATTAGAACTGGTAACCTAATTTCAAGAGCTGAGCTGTAGCTGGCACTCCAATTAGCACTGATTACAGCAAACAGCCCTTTATGGGGAACTATGGCATGTAAACCTGAGATACAGCGTTGATAAGTGTGAAGGAGAGTCAGTCGAAGGGCTGAATGTCAGTGGGCCCAGCATCAAGGAGCAGGACACAAGGCTGCCTTGTACTTACTCCCCTGCAAGCAGAGAGGAGCAGCCTCTTGGCACTGTGTCATCCTGACAGTTTCTGATAGAAGCCCCTTCCAACTCAAATGATTCATAGATTCTGTGTCATATTGTTGGAAGGACCATGATGGCTTCTCCTCCTGCCTGGTTCCTAAAGGAGAAGGCTGTGGCATCTTTCTGAGCACTGTGAGATTTAGTGGGAGCAAGGTGATATCACGGGTAAAGGGGAAAGCCCACATCTTGCATCAGATCCCTTCTTTCTGAACCATTTGATTATGATTTCACTCAAATGCTGCTTAGTTAATTAATCCCTCAGTGTGTTTTGTTGTTTGCCTGCCACATACCATGTGTCTAAATGCAAAATGAGCTTTTTTAACATACATAAGAAACCGTGTTTATAAGCTAATTATGCCAATTTCAACTATTTCTTGAAAGAATAAAAGTTGGGGAAAAAAGGAAAATTGAAAAATTGCACATCATACTAAAGCTCTTGTGGGAAATCATTAATTTTTATTATTTTAGGAAAATATCATACTTACTGTCAGTGTAAAACTTGTGTTTATGTGACGGTACTGTACTCCCTAGATGTTCAGTGTGAGTACTGTGTTAATGGAAAGTATTCCAAGGCATGAACAGTTAATACTGGTGTAATGTGCTAGAGACACTGAATATTACAATTCATGTCATTTTTTTGTGGAATCATAAAAATTCATAAGTGTATCCAGTGTAGTTTCAACAAAGATGAAAAAATGTTTGAATTTCTTTTCTGTATAATTCAGTATACCCAATGAGTCTGTATGCAAAACACACTAACCTACACATTAACACCATCTGTTTTCAGATTCCTATCTCTAGTAAGTGCTATTGCCTCCTCTTAGATGAGATCTTGAGACAAACCTGGAATTGGCCTCATCAGAAGCCACAGAACCCAATACCATATATGTCTGATACTTGCTTGCAATACAATCTTTACTATTATTTACTATATTTACTATTATTTAATTTGGACTTATTTTACGGAAGTTTGTGATTATGTTAATTTGCTCGTGACTAGCTTTATACATGAAAAGTACTAAATCCAATCAGTAAAAAGCTGTCTGTCTTTTCTTAGGTAGAATTACACCGTTGCACTTGGGAGCACTGCTGCACATTTTAATTATTATTATTTTTTACCATCAATGCCTTTTAAAACAGTCTAAAATACATACAGCTTTTTAGCATACTTAGTTTCTGTCTAATAATTTTGACAGTCTTCAATTTCTGCTAGCACAGCTTAGATCCAGGGACACAGCCAGCTTCTCATTGCCCAGGATTCTAAAAGAAATCTTGGGGGTGCTGCAATGAATTCACAGCGGTTATTCCTACTGATTCCAGTGATAGCAGGGGCTTGCTTACAATTCTCTAGAAACCAAAATACCAATGAATTGAAGCCAAAGAGTGTTTCTCCTACACAGCATCTGTTAAATGAGAGTCAACCTCAGCCTGGGAGCCTTGAAACCCCCAGTCCCAGGGCAGGGGATTCCCCATACGGCACGTTGCCTCAGCGCTCCCGTTCCTAGAGGTGTGCTGACATCTGACAGTGATACCCGTAGTGTTCTGCCAAAAATACTGACTGTAATAGCAGATAATACCGAAGCTCCTCTTTTATTGCTCGCCAAAAATGTCTGTTCAGAGTGCAACGTGTGAGGGTAAATTCAGGCTCTGTCAAAGCCAGCTGGAGTTTTGCCCTCAAATCTGATGGAGCTAAGAGTTCATCTGTCATGTCTTATGGATAACATAATGCAGTCTCCTTAGGGAGCCAAATGTTACCTCTGTTGTAGTGGGTTGTAAAACCCATTATATACATCCTTCATTTAGACCAGTATTTCTCAGAATCCTAAAACACAACTTTTGCTCTTGTTCCTGCTCTTCTCCTTTTGGTTCTCACGCAGGAAATTGTGCGTGCAGTCCTAAGATGCCCCATTCAATAAAATTCTTTAAAATTTATGTAATGATAGGGCAAGAGCCTTGAATTTAGATACGGAGAAGTGAATGAAGTCAAATACAGTGGTATCTAACAAAAAAAACAAGCTAAGCAAAAAGGTAGTAAATTCTATCATATGGTAAGGCTGGAAAATATTTGTGATCGCAGAGTGAGAAGCTGTACTGAATGGAAAAAATAGAAGTTACCAAGTGTTACCTGAGAAAAAATAAGTGAGTATGCAGTCTCCTCACAGCATTACAAGTAATGTGACTGCTTGGACTTAGAGGTACAGTGAATTTTCATAATTCACTGTTAATCTTGGTCCAGAACAATTCAGGGAACTGAACCAGACAGCACAGACTTAGCAGTGGTTGGCAGGGCTGCTGGCAGCTAGCATCAGGTGGAGAGCAGGGCTGTATTTCTGTTTGTACTGAGATGGTAAGCAAAATTCTGTGCCCTTAGGAGGAAAGGATTAAAAATGCATTATCTTTTTTTCTTAGGTGTTAATAACAGCATATCTGCTCACTGGCATTGTTGGTGTGGAAGTTTGGCAGAAGCCTTTCCTGTTTGGTTATTACATTACAGATGTTTTAGTAATCTTGCTTATAGGTAAGTGCCTGGATCCATAAAGAACTTCACTGTTATTTAATTCCTTTGATCAGATAATTCCCTATTTTGCCTATAAATTTCCTTTTCCTTTTGCAAGCATTGGCCAGTCCCAAGCTGACATGAATAGAGGTGATTAGTAAGAGTCTTACTGGTAAACTTAAGCTGGAAACATTTTTCCTCACTGAATTCATATCTGTTGTATACAAATAACACAAAAATCGTTCCTCAGTTATACATGCAGATCAATGTGCTGTTCTGACTGTTTTCAAACACTCACAAACTTCTACTATCAGTCAGGTAAAATGTTGCTCACATTTACATATGGTAAAAGATAAGTAGTTCAGTCTGCAGCACACTACAATCCAAAACATCATGGATAGAAGATATTATTTAAATAACGAGAGGAGGCAAAGCTGTAGATCTAGATGGTTTCTAAGTTCTGTTCTTAGAATTACTCTCAGACCAGAAGTATACATTTTTCATACACAGCAGTTGCCAGTTTGCTCATTACTTGACACTGTCAGTGTATCTTGAAGTAAGCAAAGAGCACCTTCCAGCTGCCACAGCTAGACTAAGAACATGAGTTACATTGCAATGAGCTAGAACAGCAGTCTTAGATACAAAGGTGTGCATGTGGAATGCTTCCGTGTGTTGATTGGAAGGTGACAACATCAGCATATGTATTTTTCCAGGATTTCTATATGAACTTACAAGTAATGACAAGTGGGCACAAAACAAAGGGTTTGGCACAGGCCAGACAGACAGAAATGGCCTTGAGCCAGATAGAGGACTTGAGAAAAGGCTATCACCCAGATCCAACCCCAGCCAGGGGCTGCCAACATGTTTGTTGGGGTGCTTCTAAACCTGCTGCATTTGCACAGCTTCGTGTTGTCACCTGCCTGCAGAGGTGTCTGCAGCATCTAAAACTGATCCTGTGTGACTGAAGTTGAGCAGTCTTTTTATTTGTCAGGACTGTTGTGAGCACAGAGAAAAAGGAAGAAAGGGCAAAAGCAGTTGGCTGCCCTTTTGGTAGGCAATGCAAGGATCAGTCTGGCCGTGTGCAGTGAGGAAATGCCCTCTGGTGGGAAGAGGGAGCTCTGTCTGCTCTGGGAGCCGTGCTGCAGAGCCAGAGATGGGTGCTGGCTTCTGAGTGAGCTGTGCTGCTGGGGTCTGCGAGTGCAGAGCTCCATCCACACTATCTACATCATTTCTGCTCCTCTTGTCAAGGCACATGACAGCTGCCTCTGTGAGGATCTGGATGCCCTTGGGAAGTCATGGGTGAAAGTTAAACTCAAACTAGTCAATGTATTAGGAAGAACTGTGCTAGGAAAGCACATCAGCATGACAAAATCCATAGAACTGAGCATCTTTTTTCATATTCTACTGCAAAGTGAAGTTTGATAGAGTGTTCCTTTAGATTTAGGAAGAAGCGCTGCTTCTGTCTAGTGTTGCATGGCAGGATTCATAAGCAGGGAGCTGAGTACTTCTTCCATCCTTGTCCCAAGCAGAGGAAATATAACTAACTGAGAGCCAAAACGTTTCTTTGAAAATACTGTTTCTTGCACTTTGTCTATAATGCCATTAGCAGGGCAACTTTTGCAGCTCAATTATACCTTTAATAAAGGTGTAAAGTATGCAGTGCTTAGTAGCATTCTGATCCGGAGAACACTTCAGCTTTGTCACAGGTATGAATCCCAGTTCAACAACAGTGCTTAGAATGTTTTATCACTGGATAAACTGTGTGCTGTAAATCTGGATATATAAAGTTTTTAGAAGCTTGCAGTAAATCCCAGGAACCCACTGTGCCCACTGAAAGAGCATTGAGGTAGCCCACACCAAGGGCAGAGCACAGCTTGCTCGGCCAGACCTGTTTGTCTCAAGTCACCTCCCTGCAGCACGCTCAGCTCACTGCCTCTGTGGCCACTCAAAACCCAGAGCAATGCAATAGGGCCTCTGCAGCTTTTTATGAGTTTGTTTCCCAGAACTCTGAGAGGAGCCTTTAAGCCCTAACTGCTATCCTTAACCATCTGATGGCATTTAAGAGTCAGCAGTGCTCACTCTAACAACAGACCTGCACGTCTGCTTCATCAATACTTGGCCAAGAGCATGCCTGCAGTTTTGTGCTTTTACTGTTCTGTACACAACAGGAGTTCAACTGCTGAGCTGTCACTTTTCTGAGCACAGCTGGGCTTTAGCTAGCTAGTACCTTTTATAGTGGGAAGGAATCCAAACAAGAAGCACAAGAGTGGAGTTTTTCAGATGTGCTTCCTGGAGTTTCTCGGAGAAAAAGAAAAAAAAGAAGAGCCCACATATAACCTCAGGATGAACTCCACTCCAAGCACATCCTCAGTGGAAGCTGCGGTATCACCAGGTGACATTCACTCCCCCAAAAAGCAATTTTTATCAGGTGCCAGAACACAGAAAGATATACATAAAAACCACAGTGATACCGGTGTTTAGATTAGAAGCTTTATGAAAACCTCCCAAGAGAGAGCTTTACATATGTCCCTGGGAACTGTCTTGCACACAGTGAACACCTGTAGGAAGGTCAGCACTTGGGCTGCTGAAAAGTGCCCTCGGAGGCCTTCCTTGTGAAGCTGAGAAACTTCTGCAGAGTGTTCTGTGGGAATTCTGCTACCCAGTGAATAGGAACATGTAATTTCTGCAGGCAGTGAATGCAATTCCATCCTGAAGCTCCAGTCCTTATGCCCCCTAACACACACCTAGCTGAGCATCAAACAAAATAAAAAAGGCTGTTCTCCGTTTTCAGAGCCTTCTGGACAGAAATACCTTTGTTTTCCTGCCTTCTGGACAGAAATACCTTTGTTTTTTTTCCCCTCTTAGCATGAAAGTAGCCAGACCTTTCTAAAGTTATGTGCCTGTGTGCTCAGCTGGAACTAATTACTTCTGCTCTCAGCAAAGCTTTTGTGGATGACACTCCAAAAGCCCCACTGGGATTTAACCACAACTGTCCCATAGCATTATCTGGCTAACGAGGGTCTCTTCAAAGGGCACCACTGGGGTGAGACCCGTCATTTATTTTCACCCCTCCAGGATGCCCCAAATACCAGGCATTCCCTGTCACTGCCTTATCGGGTTGAGAGCCATATAAAATATTTACAATAAGCATTTTAAAACAATCAGTATGCTACATGCAGTCTAGTACCAAAAATGATGCCAAAAGATGTCACGGACTTTATACAAAGATTTTAATTGACAGATAAACGTCAGTAGTTTAAGGAGCAGCATTACTAATTGATTATGGTTTCTGTCTCACATTGCAATTACATGACCTATGATAGGGTGCATGAAGCTTTTTCATACTCAAGACACACACGCTAGCTCTCTGTGGAATAGATTTTATAACGTGCAATAAAATCTGAGCTCAGGCTGCAATCTTCTCCACACTGGAAACATCCATGTAACTGTTTTCCTTTACTTGACTGTTTATTTCCAGGCAACTTACAGGAAATGTCTTTCAACCTATTAAATTTGTTCAGAAAGTGTTATCAGTCGTATCAGCTTCATTCCTTAGGGTGCCATGTTGGAAAAACTACTCCTAGGTGCACAGAAAGGTTCCTGCTCCTCCTCAGTATCAGTTGTCGTTGCAGAACAATGCTTTGTGGTTGAAAGATCACCAGAGCAGAGTGGATATGCTGTGCTTCATTGGTGTGTGGCACACGGTGCCGGCAGTTTTGCCCTCCAAACCCAGGGGCACATTTGAGTCTGCTCTAACTGGTGAGCAGCAGTGCCCACATCTGGCTCGTGAAGCTTGTGGCAAAGCTGGTGCAAATTTTCAAAGTACAGGTTTGAACATGAAATGTTCAGTGGAGTACTAACAGCTGTCGTAGATCGGAAACTTGAACTTTCTCTTAGAGATGGAGCCAAAGGATTCAGAATTTTTTCCTACGATGTGAACTGGATTGGGTCCTGTACTCTGCAAGGAGTGTGTGTGCCTTGAGGTTGCTCATTTCTCTGAGCTACTTAAGTATGTGAAATAGGGAATGAGTGCATAAAATAAAACACATTAGGAGAAAAAAAAACTAATGATCAGACCAAGCTGCATTTAAAACATGCCAAGTATTTCAATTCTGTAATGTTGAGAAAGCACAGTTATTCATCTAAAGCAGTTCTTAAACGATGTCCTATGCTGTATGGATTGAAGGAGGACAGAGAAGTCATACAGCTGGCAATTATACAACAGCCTGTTCCTTTTCCATGTAACAAAATTTTAGAAGGCCATGGTCAAACAGCCATCATCTGAAATGCGCATTTCTTTAGTTGAGTTTTTTTGGTCCAAGTCAGTGTTACAGTTAAAACATACCTGATATTTTATTCATTTGAATATATCTCCTGCATGCCAACCCTTCACAGGACATTTATTCCCGTAAATCCATTCAGTAGATCTGCATCACAGCAGGCAGGCAGGTTTCTTCTGGCTGGAGCAATCTGGACACAGCCCTCTACCTCTTCTCTGGGGCACAATTGCAAGTGAGGCAGCTTGCTTTCCCATGGAAAACCGGTGATGTTGGGAGCCTTCATAGCAATGCAAGGCACTGATCACAAAGACAACTTAAATGCACTTCAGATGGTGGAAGGAATTTTTCTTTCTTACATACATTAATTGTGTATTTTTTTCTGCTTCATGCCAATATGTCATTCTCCACTGATTTTCTATAGTTCCCATTGCAAAGTAGCTGATTGTTCTCCCTCACTGTTGGACAATTAAGTGATTAAACGCTCAGTTAAATGTTTTCTAAATTCTATCACTCCTACAGGCCCTGACTAGCCTTGTCTAAAAAGTGTAGTTAACATGAGTTTGCTTCTACTGCTCTGTCACCAATTTACCATCTAATAAGGCATTGCTGTGACAGATTATACAAGGCTTTATAAGAAAAGGGTGTGAAATACTCATTTGTCACTCCAGGTCTACATAAAACACACTGGAGTTCGTGTATAGAATAACCCATCCAAAATAGCCACAATAACCCAGAAAACAAGAGCTCTGAGTGTTGCTGGCAGGATTAAACCCTGAAACTCTGGGGTGAACCCTGAACCTCCAATCAGTGGTGTTGATCAAGATTCCATGATGGTGACTGTGACAATGATGTGGTTTCATTCCACAGGCAGTGAGAGCCCCAAAAGGGAAGTCACACAAGGGAACTCACCTGGCAGGGACCATCTGGTGGCCAGCCTTGAGTTTTTGACTAAGGGCACTGCTCCTCAGGTGCTTGATTCTTGCTGTATGCTGAAAAAGAAATTTGAACATCCATGCTTTTAAACAAGACTACATCAAAGCAGCAACTGCATCCATAACCTAATTTCTCAGCCTATACTAAAGCCCTCCAAATGCTAATTGTTACCTTGCAGCTCAGTTCAAAGAGATTAATGCACTGTGTTCTTAGACTTTGAAAATGAGCTATAAAATCAGAAAGCATGACAAATGCATCCCTTTACTGCTTTATACTCAGTGTCTTAGATTCTAAACATCGCAAACTTACATCAGCTTTTTGCATGAATGCAGTACTCGTGTTTACACAGTACTCTTAATCATGTCAAATGCTTTGAGAGTGTGTAGGTGTGTCCAGGTTTATTTTTCATCTGTCCTTAAATTACTTAATACAAAATTCTGAATTTACAGGCACAATTCAGTCTGAAAATTATAAGTTTAAGAGTTTTCTTCACTTACTCAGTGGTTATAAGATTGCAATTTTATGTAACTGTAATTATGTAACAGTAAAATGTAATTTTATAGTAGACCGGACAACTGAACATGCAGTAATCTGTGTGCACAACCAGTTATGAGTTTTCTTCCCAGGAAATGCGTGGGAAAGCCACACAGTTCCACAAAAGCTGCTGTTCCTGCTGGAAATGCTCCTGAATGTTCACCTTTCAATGAAGCCGGCTTTCAGGCACTGCTCAGCATGCTGAGATATGTTTTATAGATCTGGCTGTTCTAAATTGAAGAATTTTTCAAGCTTACATTGAGGCCTAAATATTTTCAATCTTCCTTTTTTTTTTTTTTTTTTTTTTTTTCTAGTGGAAAAGGAAGTACTTGCTATCCCATTCTTTTGAAACAAGCATAGTCTATGATGAATAAGCTAATGAAGAATAAGGGAGGAGGGTGATGATATTTAAATCGTAGGTGCAACATCAGCAGTTAAAGTGTTGGTTTTTACTCAGTAGAGCTTCTGCAGTATGCAAAGGAAAAGGTCTGTGCAGGGCTCTCCACAATTGCTCCAGGAACTCTGTTCTGGGGGAGGACAGGGAATGGTAGGTACCCACCTGAAGACTTTGTGATGAAATAGGTGCGAAGAAAATAAACAGCTGAGATACCTCTTCCTTTGAAGCAGTGTATTTCATTAAAAATAGTGTCCTAGGCGTTCTGGCTGCCTACTTAGAGTTATTTTAGCATTGCTTAAAATCTCTGCAGTTGGGTGAATTCAGGAACCTGGTTACCTGAGGCAGGCTAGGTCTTTTCTCTGGTTACTGTAAGAGCATTTTGTAGAGCTGACAGAGTGCCAGCTGCCAGTTTCTGGACTCATCCTCCCTTTCACTACAACAAGCAAGTCACCCAAGTGGCTGCACTGTGCCATGGTGAGATAAGCCTTGCAGTCTTCATGCCATCAGGAGGTTTTGAGGAATGTTTTAAGATGCCTTCGTGTAAGTGAACTTAAATACGTCACTGCCAGTCTGCCATTACTGCCAGGTTAACAGTGGACAAATGTATTGCATTGTCCATCTCTTGCTGTTTGTTTGTTAGTTTGTTTGTTTTCTGTTTTTGTTTTTTATTCACTCAGAAGTGTAACACAACTAACACCTTAGCAGTTTTGGAACGGAATTTGAAAGAGGCAAATGAAATCTGAAGTTGTCACTAGAACTGATGGGAATTGTCTTTTTGCCCTTTGCACACTTATATGTGTGTGCTTGAGTACATAACTGTCTGCATGCTTACAGATATATAAATCTCTCTACGCATCCTTGCTCACGTTTGGAATACAAGATATGCCTTTATTTCTGACATATCTGTAATCCTGAATGCACTGGTATTGGGTTTTGGGTTATTTTTTTGGTAGTTGTTGTTTTTTAATATGGACAAGATAATTCCTGATAAAGAGCTTTGCAAATGCTTATTTCTCTGAAAAGTGAGACGAGATACTGAAAGGCTCAGGACTGAGCATGGGATTGTGCCTAAATCCCAGGATTTGGGCTTGATGCCCAGCGTGACACAAGAATTCCCTGTGTGTATCTGTGCCACCCATCTGTGCTTTGCATTTCTGCCCTCAGAGCAGAGCTGTTTTCTTACCTTTGGGATTCAGGATTTAAATTAGCTGGGGAAGATATTGAAGGTAAAACTGAAAAAATACAACAGCAGTGATATTTTTAACAAGCATGTGGGGGTTGGACTCGACAATCTCTAGAGGTCCCTTCCAAAGCCTGCCATTCTGTGAATCCATGAATTGTCTGTAGCGTTAAAAACTTCTAATGCACTAAGCTTGACTTTGTTACGATTTTAAAATAAAATAGGCTATTTAAAAAAAGAAAAAAGAAGAAAGCACCAAGGCCATCCCTTGGGCATTGCAGAGCTGGACCAGCGCCTGAGGGACAGCATGGTGGTGGCTTTCCAGGCTGCACCTTTTGTTCCCTGGACCAGCAGGGAATGGCAGCAATGCGGAAGCAGTAATTTAGCTCCCAGGCACAAAGGGCTTCTTAATGCCAATTAAAAGACAGACTTAATGAGTACCAAAAGCAGCCCCCTAGCCAGGCCTCCTTAGCTAAAAGACAATGGGGGAGAGCAACGTGTTGTAGGAAATGATGGAATTTTGAAAATCCTGCAAGAAAGAGGGGAACACCCTTTGCCTTCCCTACTGCATCCTCTGCACTCAGTTTGTTAAAGGAAAGGTGTCTAAAAATACAGAGGAGTGACTGCTGTAACTGTCCCAGTCCAAAAGCGACTTTCAGCTATAGCTTGGGGATTGTTTGTGGTCAGCATGTTATTTCTAACTAAAATGGCACTTCATAAAAATAACAAATTGCTGGCAACCATTGGGCTTTGAATTCTATTTCTAGTTGCAGTCTCTATTTCTGTTCCTCTTGGTTGCTTTTCTCCTAACAAATCAAACTTCAGGATTGCAGCAGGAAATTTAGATTTAACCTCAAGAGTCAATGTTTTGTCTCATGTCTGCTCTAATGTGATGCAGATGTTGGAACTGCTGTATGTTACTCAAGCTTTTATTGAACCAGCCCTCCCTGCCTAATAGAAAACATAGATAACTGCAGTGCACATGAAGCACAGATCATTCTGAAGGCACTAAGCTTGCAAATTTTGTAAATACATTTACAAAACACTTGAACTGTAACTTCAGTTGCAAAGCCTTCAGCTGTGTGATACAGAGATTCCTCCATGGCAAAGAAGCAGAGCTCTTCATCTTATCTGTTTTAAGAAGCAACAGGAAGTAAACAAATGAAAATGCAATACCTGAAATGACTTGCAGGCTGGATATTCTTTTTCCAATTCTCTGTTTCTTCTCCTTTAAAAGATAATTGAGAAGACTGCAGAAATAGAATATCTACTGTATCCCTTTTTATTTGTTTTCCAGCAATCCTGGAATCTCTACTATCCCTGCACTTTTAGTTTTCCTTCTCCTGTGCTGCCACTCTGGCCATGCTAAGACTTAGGTATGTCTTTGATGAGGGCTGAATGCTAAACACTGACATTTCGTGAGAGCCCACTATTCTGCACTGACTCTGGTGCTAAGTAATTTGGAATGGTTCTTTCTTGTGCTCGTTCCTGCTGCCTTGTAATTTGTAATATTTCTAATAATGAGATGAAAGTGTGTTGTACTGACTGCGCGTGTGAAATTTTAAGGGCAAAGCAAAAAGTTTACAAAATCTGTGTTATTCTTCCCCCTACAAAATATTAATTACGCGTGCATTTAGTGCTCCCTTGGTGATCTTCAAGTATTATATTCTAGAAGCCAGGCAGAAATATATATGCTGCTGAGAGCCATCTCCGAGCAACAAACCGACCAGGCAGAGGTACTTGATACAGGAAAACCAAAACCAAAGAGCTCTGTGAGAAAATGGATATCACGGAGTAAAGAAGGTCATACATGCTCACCTAGTTGGGCTGACTACTGCTGCTGCTTTTTAAAAGCACTTGAATTCTCACTTCTTGCTGGAGTCCTTCTGTGCCCCTTGGACGAATGCATTCTGTGTGGGGGTGTTGCACAGCGCACCACACTGGTCCTCAGCCAGCGCCTGGGTCCTCAGCAGCAGCAAGGCACAGAGACACAGCGTTAACAAAGGCAAATTCCTTGTCCTTTATTGGTTAAAGCTGAGCTCCAGAAAGGTCACAGCTGTATTTAAAAAACAAAACAAAACGAAACAACAACTCATCAAAATGATGGCTATATCATGAAAATTAATTCCCTTACGCCACTGTCTCAGCAAAGCCTCACATTAATTGCATCTCAGCATATTGGACCATAAACCTATTATTTCCCCACTGATGTGGGCAGCGCTGTTGAAGATTAATTATCCTTACATATTCCATTGGAAAGCTTCTGGTGTCAGATTTGTCTCTCTCTGCATGAACAGAGAGCAGCTCACGCAAAATGGGGCCGTGATCTTTCTTAGATCCTGCAGAGGAACCTGCACTGCACACAATTGATTGTACTGACTTGTGGCATCACGTTTTAGAAGTCTTGCAGCTTTTGTCACTCATTGCACAAGAAAATCTGTATCAGCAACTACTTCTAGCAGCTAACACTTGGAAAAATAAGGAAGGTTATGTTATTGCCTAAAGCCTCTGAATTTCATTTGCGTCCTGTGATGAATACTAGAATACCAAGTCATTTCTACAATGGCTCATTGGCTCTCTTGTCATATGAGAGACTGTGGGATTGTCAAGCTGGTATGACTGTAAATCAGTACATATCAATCTCTCTTTTCTTCCAGGCTTCAGTTTACTTCTTTCATTTCCACAGACACTATACAACATCCACAGGTAAGTGAATTAACATTAAATAAGTTCTACCCCCCACCCCCCATTTAATTGTGTATTTAATGGTTTTGTTACATGAGAAATACATGTAGACTTTCAGCCAGCTGTCCTAAGATGGTACAGCAGCTTTTTTTTTCAGTCCAGCTTTCAGCATCTGACTGGCTTCTTTCCTATGTCTGTAGCCTCTCTAGTTTCCCTTTCACTTGCAGCTCCTCAGGCAGTCTCACACTGTTCCTGGATGGCAAAACAGTGAATGCCCTCTGGATATAAACAGTGTATTTTATTTGCAGCCAAATGTGATTCCTGACTTCTACCCGCTTTAAGCAAAATTATGTAGCTGATCATCTCCACTCCATAAAGAGTTTATTGTCTTTCAGATCCTCCTGTAAAACTCCTCTCTGTATGAAGGCTGCAGATAATTGCCATCAGATATGGGCTAGGCAGGTGGCAAGCTGTGATTACATCTAAGAGTTGGCTTGCTGCACCTAGTGATTTCATACACAGCTCTCTTATACTCCAGTGGCCTATTTTTATTAATGCTGTCTGCCTTCCTCTAGCACTTGCTAGCTCATTTCCCTCACCTGTCACATCGGGTCTCTCAGAACCCACATTTCCTGGAGGAGGGGCTGTCATTCCCTATCTTAAGGAATTAGTGGCAATGAGTGTTAGTGTGTTGATTTTGGAGAGACTCTAAGACAGCAATGCAGAGCTCCTAAGAGGCCCTCACCTCATCGCAGTCTGCCCCCAGTGAGGAGTTGCGGGCATGAGGGGCTTTGCATCAGGGAGGGCGAGGAGGAGGAGGGCAGCACTATGTTCTTTCCACTCATTTCGGGACTTTTGCTTAGTATTTGCCTCCTCATGTCATCATCTGACATAGGCCTTTTGGCAAGTTTTATCATCCCTCTAAGCAGAAGAGCACCCAATTCTAAACACCCAGCTGGAGTTGCTTGAAGGATGCACACACAAGCTATGTGCTGGTGAGGAATTTGTGTTTTCCAGTAATGCGCTTTCTCTCCATCCTGCTGCCTGTTCTCAGTCATTATTTTATCAGAAGACTATTCTTTTTAGGACTGAAGAAAGTATTTATTGGCTTTTTGTCTAGCTGCCTTTATAAACACAGATAGTCAGAGATTTTAAACAGGACACTTCCCAGTACACTTCAAACACAGAATCGCTCATGTGAAAACTGTGTATGAAGAAATAGTTTAATGATAGTGAATTTTAGTACATTAAAGCTCCTACTGCTTTTATAACCTCTCAGCGTGTTCTGCCTGAGTGAGAATGCAAGCCAGATGCAAAAGGCACTGATGTTACATTTACCATTTTCCCATCTGACAGAAAATAGAGTCCTTCGCTACCTTTATTTAGTACTGTCTCTAAAAAGCATCTTAAAACATCCAAGAAGAAAAACAAACAAATAATGCCTCACAGATTTTCCATCACTTTAGTTAGCAAAAAAAAAAAAAAAAAAGTACCCCCTACCTTTTGCCATTGCTGTGGGATTGTCCAACATGTCTCCTCTCAATCCACGTAACAGCAATACCTGCCAGCCACGTGCTCAGCTGTGTTGTCTCTGTATTGGCTGAAGTCGTTTCCTGTCTTACATTAGAAGGTTAATCATCTAAAAATACACATTTTGAGTTCACAGTAAGTTTGCATGCTGTGCATTTGGTGACACTGGAGCTACTACAGCTCACTGTGTGCAAGCCAAAGGGGTCCACTGCCAGACAGTGACGAGAGAGGGGAGCTGACCAGAAGCTGTGTGAATAAAACAGTGCAATAAATATGCATAAATATGTTCCTTTTATATCCTACCCTTTCTCTTTAAAAGCTTAGGTACCTAACAGGTTTGTACAATTAGCTGTGTTGCAAAATGAATTCTTGGGCTGAGTTCAGGCTGGAGTTACTGTGCGGAAATGGAACGGATACATTTTCTTATTCCATAAAATCATTGTATTTATTTGCAGAGCACATTTAAGGAAAACACTGAAGAATGATTCTTTGTATGAAGGACTCCTACCTCTTGTGTCACCTCTGTTGCTCTTCATGCTTCTTACAGTCTGGGTGGTTTTATCTCCAGGCAACATATTAGCAAAGCAGCCAAGATTGTTTTTATGGATGGTTGGGGTTGCTTTCTCAAATGTTATTGTAAGTATGTTTGTGGTGATGGTATTATTTAGAGACAGATTTGTGTCAGCAAGACTTCTATTTTTATGTGAATAAACAGAAGGAGCAGAATCTGTAGTTAAAATTCAGCAGAATCGCCCACACTACTCCTCTTCCTCTGTGCTACGCTCCTTCTTACAAAAACACATCCCAGCAGTTGGCTGGGCTGGGGAGCTCACAGTGCTGCAGCATTTATTTTACTGCAGAAGAACATTTTGATGAAGGCTCTTCCCCTGCCCTTCGCCTCAGGGTTTTATGAACAACCCAGAGAGGCTTTAGTTCCAGAAACGTAGCAGGTACACACTGGCACATCCAGAATCAAAGTACAGTAAAGCTGAATGCAGGCTCAGATTTACCAGCAAGAGTAGGGGTTGTCTGTAGCCTTTCCCTGCTGTTCTGCCTGTTAGCCTGTGCCACACAGGTCAGATGGTCCTGCATCTCCTCTTCACTGCTCAGAATAAGGCCGTGCTGCAGACAGCAGCTTTTAGGGAAAGACACGAAGTGATGCAGGAGCACAGGGATGGCTCTGCACCCAAGGACTTCCTTTCTCAAGCCACATCAACACTGTTTCCCCCTTTTAGTGACCGTGAGGCAACATAAACCGTGAGCAACTCCGCTATGAAGACAGGCTGAGGGAGCTGGGCTCTTCTGGGAGAAGAGAAGGCTGCGGGGTGACCTCACTGCAGCCTTTCAGTACCTAAAGGGAGCCCACAATCAGGAGGGGAATCAACTCTTTGAAAGGGTTGATAACTGCAGGACAAGGGGAAATGGTTTTAAGTTGAGGGAGGGGAGATTTAGGTTGGATATCAGAAAGTCCTTTACAGAGAGAGTGGTGAGGTGCTGGAACAGGCTGCCCAGAGAGGTTGTGGATGCCCTGTTCCTGGAGGTGTACAAGGTCAGATTGGATGGGGCCCTGGGCAGCCTGGTTACATGGGGAAGTTGGTGTCCCTGCCTGTGGCGGGGGGTTGGAGATTCATGATCCTTGAGGTCCCTTCCAACCCTGGCCATTCTGTGATTCTGTGATAAACCATAGCAAAGTAATAGCGTGGGCAGGCAGGCGCAGTCAGTAGTGGGGCCATGGCAGGAAACACAGGGCTGAAGCCTCATGCCTTCCTTCCTGGAGAGCAGTAGCCAAGAGAAAGGTATTTCTCTAGCTAGCACTAAAATATCCTAAAGCATTGCACTGGTTGACTTGTTAGGAAGGCAATCTGCAATAGCATGTCTGAGCAACACTGCATTCCATTTAAAAAGTGGAAGTCTCAGAGTGCCTTGAGTTGGGAGAGAGAGCTTTGAGAATACAGGAATTTTCAAAAGGAAAGCAGCACTCTTTTAGGAACTGTATCAAGGCATGGGAAAAAATCTTAACTGTGCTCCTTGATAAATGCCTTTTACAAGTGTGCATTCCTGAAGGTCACAGACAACTCCATAGTAAGGAATCAGTCCCATAGAAGTCACAGAATCACAGAATCACAAGGGTTGGAAGCAGTAGCTTCACCATAGACTGCAGTTTACAAGGCACTGAGTGCAGCGCGCTGAATGCGAGGCCTTGTTTCCCTTGAACCAAGGCATCTGCTGCGGTACGAGAGGAATTAAAAATGTATGCATGTTAGTTGAAACGTATAACATTTAAAAAGCGGGCATAAAAAATGTATGTGTATTAGTTGTAATCTTTAACATTTAAAAGCGAAAGCTGGGCCCCGTTTCCTCTCACCTCCCCTGGCCCCTCGCTCCCTGCAGCAGGGACGGTTGTCATGGCAATGTGCATCTTCCTCCAGCCTGACAGGCCGACTTGTCCTTGTCTGCTCTGCACATGCCTGTGTGATGGCCTCCCCCAAGACGGCAGGTGAAAGGCATCCAGCCCATCCTGAGAGATGGGGCATTTCCTGCATTTTTGGCTAAACAGAGGCAGAAGGGCCTGGAAAGGAAAGCTACTGGCCTGGCAGAGAGATGAGAGAAGTTCTGCAACCCTGCTTGGCACTAAGCTTGCACTGCTCCAAATACTCACTGTAAATCTTTATGAAGGATTGAGTAATGTACTTAACAAGGTGTAATAATGATTTAAAACAGTGTGAAATCCAACCTTGGGACAGGTGCAATTATTCAGTCAGGAACTATAGCCTATATTCATGAACTGGAGAGATTGCTTTAGCAACGTCTGGAGCGGTTCCTAAAAGGCTTGTAGAATTGGTGCTACTTGAAACACTCATCATCCATACTGATAATTCACTGTAAGCAAATAAGTTTACAATACGTACAGACACACATTGCATTATTGAAAGGTTTTCATTTTTGGACATTCTTCATGCCATTATTTTTTCCCTATCGTTAGATTTCATTCAGACTGCTACTGCTGCTCTTATGGGATTTCAAGCACTGCACAGGGAAAGGCTTTTTATTTTTTTCAGTGTTTTCAGGATGCATAACATCTGTTTTTAACGATATTCAAATTCTGAATGAAGCTTAAATGGATAAAACTTTCCTAAAATTCAAAAGGGAATGTTGTACGTGAGACAAAAAATCCCAAGGAGGCTCAAACAGATAAAACACTTGAGTATTTAACTGTATAAATGTGATCTTGATCTCATGACCGTTCAAGGTCTCAGTAAAATGAAGCTAACTGCTTTCAGCTGAATGTATCCATTTTTTCTGCCATTCTGGGTGGGATCCCTTTCCTAAGGCCCCAGCTCCATCCCAGAGAGAGCCCACTGCCATAACTGAGACAGGGAAGCAATGCTGCTCAGGGGGTTGATGTGGTACAGGAATGAGTGCTAGAACAGAAAAACAGCATTCAGAAGAGGCCTATTAGTTCCTCTCCCTTACGCACGGCAAACCAGAATACATCTCTCCGTGCCATGTGCCATGTGATTAGAATACCACTGTGCTCTCCCAGTGATTAAGTGGTGGCAATTTGATTTGGGATTACAACTTTATGAGGCTGTGTGAAAGCACAGAGTGTCAAACAAACTCCCCTTTTGCGAAAGCAGGCTTCAGCTCATAAAGTGTAGCATGTCAAAACATTGCCTCCTTGAAAGAAGTGTATATTTTCAATTACCTGTAATAAAGTCCTTAAAGAACCACAGACAACAAGGCACAAAGGCCGTCGATAGCAGTTTCCTTTGCAGAAACAGGCTCCATTTTGAGGTCTAGCCTATTTTTCCCCATCGAAAGCAACCTGAAGAAAAAATGGATGAAGGCTGTTAGGAGCGAGCCGGCTGCCCCAGCACTTCTCACCCATCTGCCTTTCTTCCCACAGTGCAAAGTCATCATCTGCCAGATGAGCAGCACACAGCCGGAGCTGCTGCACTGGTTCCTGTTTCCCTTGGCACTGGTGGTCTACGCAGCCATCTCAGGGCTGCTGGGTCAGGCAGAGGAAGCCGTGCTGGGTGCATTCACAGCGCTGCTCACGGCCGCACACGTGCACTACGGCATCTGTGTGGTAAGGGGCCGGGGGGAGCTGTGTGTCTGCGTGGGTGAGGGGCTTCTGGAGGGGGCTTGTGTGTTGTCTGGATGGGGTGCTGTCCTGGAGTCCGAGCGTTAAGCTATGGCTTCCTCACGTGTTGCATGTAGCTCATCAATGGGGCGTGGATGCCCTCTCATCTTCGCTCTTTCTCCTCCTGAGGTTACTTGAGTGAAAAAAGCAGGAAGGTAAAGGGGGAGGTAAGATGTGTCACATTCTTACAGTAAGGCGGTCAACTTTGCTTTGAATCCACAAGCAAAACAGCTGCTCGAATTTCTCATTTTTTCACAGCCTTCTATTAGCACCTCTTAAGCTGGAGACCCAAATGGTTTTCCAGTTAATTCAGTCTTCCCAGCACATTTCTGTGTCTGCTAGATATCAATTTTGTCATTTATTGGCATCTGAATTACTGCTCTAATTCGTTTTTTCTCAGTTAATGCCTTTTTTTTCCTAAATAGCATTGTCAAATAATCCTTAGGAAAGTGTCTTAATGGGGCTTCACATCCACATCCAGATAAGACATCTTACATGGCAAAGACCTAATTTAAAAGGGATTTGCTCAGCATTCTTTTATTTAAGACGTGCTGTTGGGACACCAGGATTTTTCCTCCTGGCTATGAAAGAGGCCCTGTTACCAGCAGATACTGTCACTGTAGCAGACTTTATCCAAGCACCAATGTGGGATACTCTGTGAGGAGCAGAATGTGGTTACCTGGTCAAAATCCACTACTGAATGGTCGGGTCCAGCTCTGCCATGATGTATGCCAGCTGGGAATCTGATCTGTACCAATTTAACTTCCCACAGCCCTCTTGCTCAAACACCTGAGGGTCCCCAAGCACCCGCAGGGCTCCACAAACACCAGGGTTGAGTGCTTCCCACTGTGGCCATGAGAGGAGAGGTGCTGAACTGCAGAGCATGTGCTGAGCTGATCTTTGGTTTGTCTTTAGGGGAGGCAGCTGAGCGAACACTTCAACATTTACATCTTTTCCCTGAAGAAACGTGTCCAAGAGTGAACACCTGCACTGTGATTGGACTGTGACACTTCACGTAAGATTTCCAGCTTTTTGATGTGATCAGTAGTGGAATGAATCTGATTAGAGCAACCAAAGAACAGAATAGCCCAGATACTCGAACTCCTTGACAACAATGCTTCATCTTAAAGGAAAATTCCTGGCCTGCAGAGGCGTTTACCAGGTTGTTCTGCTGCCAGTATTTACTCTCTTCACTAATGCCATATCTCTACTGTGAAGCACTGGTCTTCCTCCTCCTTGCCCCTGTGCCCCAAGCCCTGGGTACTGCCATGCTGGGTCATGTGGGACCCACCATGTTTTGTAACTCTGCTTGCTCTGTCCACCAGTGGGACCCCACAGTGCAGACCCACCCAGTGCATCCTTCCCACTCAGACATCTGTGCCTGCTGCCGTTCCCATATCTGTTTCCTCACAACTCATTTCTTCCATGCAGCCTCCTGAAGGGCTTACGTACACCCAGGCTTTTCTTCACCTTCTCTGAATGCATGAAGAGAATGAGATTAAAAAGTTATGGGCACGCCATATCTTCCTCCTCTCCAGCACTAGGGTGAGCCTCAGCTGACCCACATCTGTCAAAAACATGGGCTCCACAACCAGGGAATTTGCCTTTATGCTTCTGTTCTATGCAGAAACCAGTGCGCTCTTGGTACTGCAGTAGCAGCAAACGGCGTGCCCTACAGAAGTAACCAGCTGAGGATAAATGTAGCCAGCAAAGATGCTCATATTTCACTGCCTGATGGGTGCTTGCTGATAGGCCAACTCAGCATGCAGCATTCAAAACAAGCAATGAAAAATGAGCCATGTTCCAAGCATTTTTAAGCCCCATCTCTCGGTGCAAAATGCTAAGCAAGTGATTATTTGCTTCTGTTCTTGTTCCGAATTCTTGTGGTTTTACATGATGGAAAGAACAACAAACAAGACAAGAATTGAGAAGAGTTTTTTTGCTTTTTAGTATCACCATTTGCATGCAGATGTAAACTGCTCACTTCATCCATAATCTGCAGGGGTTTTCTGTGTGTCTTGGAGGAAGGTGCAGGAATCTGAGTTCCATTTCTTTGCCTATGCTGCCCTCGCCAAAGGGCCCTGTGGCCTTGCAGCTCTAACCAAACTACCTGCCCACTTGCCCCAAGGGGAGCACTTTATTACATCTCTTGCACAGACACGGGTGACTGAACAGCATGTGTGTCCAACAGGGAACTCTCAGCCACCAGAAGCAGGGCAGAAGTTAGCGAGTCGCTGAACATTAGATTCATCATAACCTGCGCACTGGGGACGAGCCTGCGGTTGCCTTTCCCCCTTCACAAAGCAGGGGGGGAGGCTGATCATCAGCAAGTGAGGAGCAGCAGCTTCCAGTCTCCCTCCCTGCTACAGGCTGTCCCATTCCTGCCCTGGGAGCATGAGGCTCCGCAGAACTGCTCCCCAGGTGCCCGAGGTCTCTCAGAGCCAAGCTGATGGCTGCTTAATGAAGGATGCTGCTAACAGTCCCGTGCATGCTTTGTTTGAAAGGGAACTACGAGCCTGAGGCAGGTGTGCACCCAGCGATCTCATTGATTCAGATTTGAGATTCATCATTGTATAAGTCTCACCTATTTCAATATTTTTAACACATCCATCAAAAATGTCTGGAGGAAGACCTGACAAGAAAAGAACGTGAATACAGAACCCAAAATTATGCCTGGGCTGAAAGTGATAGGACTGGAGAACTCTGTGGACAGGTTTTCATTTTCCTTCTATCTTGCACTTAAATTGTAAAATAACTGGAAATAATGGTCACAGAATTGACACAATTCAATGCACTGGAGTATTTTGAAATATTACATTGATGAAATTATAAAACTTGAACTGTCACAGCTGCCTGCACTTGTCTCATTCTGAAGTACAACATCAATTTAAAAGTAAATTGAGCACTTTTTTCCTTTTTAAAGTAATTTGTCACTACAGTCTATGTGAAGACAAGTATAAGCAGAGATAATGCAATGCACAGTGTACATATTGAATTGTTAACCGTCAGAGATGGTAACCAGTACAAGGAGAATAAAAATGCTCTGTTCATACAGCAGTATGGTCCCAGATTTATTTCTGCCATGTCAGGTAATGGCATGAGGATGACCAGAGTCTAGTTGAAGAACAATGCAATCGTCTAAAAGTTTTCAGCTATTTGAACTGGAAAACACATTACCTCCTTTTTGTGCTGTTGCACATTGGAACCGGCCCAAAGACACACATATCCCCAGTAGGCTATGAAAGGTGATTTCACTGGCTCTGCTCCACAGACTGGAGTGCCGAGCTCCCCTCTGCCAGAATCCTCCCAAAGTGGGGCTGGGCAGAGGATCAGCCCCAGCCTGGTTGTATCTGGAGGGCTCAGTCTAACCCTATGGTGGTGGCACACACCCAGGTGGCTTCAACCCACGGCACAGAGATGTGCACCCCCAGCTCACACCCCTGCAAGTCAGCAGAACCCACTGCAGCACCACTGCATGCGCTGCCAAAGCTCAGTCCTGAGAACTGCAATAAAGTTTTCCCCTCTTCTTCACAAGTGGTCTTGCAATCTGAACAAGGCGGCTTTTAGGTATGGCGCAGCAGATTCGTCCCTGAATACTTGAAGTGCACGGGGTGCTTCAGTGCCTTTGCTGTACAGAATTATTGCCTTCCACAGAATCATGGAGGCTGGACAAATCCTCTAAGACCACCTGGATTGACCACCAGCCCGCCCCCACCATGCCCACTAACCACATCCCTCAGTGCCACATCCACATGGTTCATGATCACCTCCAGGGATGGTGACTGCACCACCTCCCTGGGCAGCCTGAGCCACTGCCTCACTGCTCTGAGAATAAATTCCTCCAGATATCCAACCAGAACGTCCTCTAGCACAACTTAAGGCCATCACCTCTCATCCTATCACTAGTTACCGCCACCTCTCCTTTAAGGTCATTGCAGAGATCAATAAGGTCTTCCCTGAGCCTCCTCTTCTCCAGACTGCACAATCCCACTCCCTCCCAGCTGCTCCCCATCAGACTTGTGCTCCAGATCCATCACAGCTTCGCTGCCCTTCTCTGGACACACGCCAGGGCCTCGATGTCTTTCTTGTAGTGAGAGGCCCAAAACTGAACACAGTTCTCATGGTGCAGCCTCACCAGTACCCCACTCTTGCATCCCTCAAGTTTTGCTTTTGCTGCACTAAAACAAAGTAATGTTACATGAGATTAAATACGCAAAAGTTGGAAATCTGGCATAAAAAAGAGTGCTGTTTACATGTACATAGGTATACACATGTATGTGCATGCATAGATACTATTTGCACACATAGAATAAGTGAAGTTAATTTTTTAAAGCAGCTCTTTTCCCTCCTGCCCCCATGTGCAGTCAGTCATGAAGCAAGTAAATGTTTTGAAAAAGAGAAAAGGATTATTTTAGCCTCTAGAACTGGACAGATTTTAACATATATTTTTTTTATTAAATATGTAAAAAGATAAACGCAAGTCAAGTTATTCACATATTCAGACAAAAATCTACTCTACCATGCGACAGTTTGTGGATAATGCGAAACGCCCGATACATCTGAATAAGACTTTTTAAATCTATTATGTCATTACTTATCTATTTATAATTAACAATACATATGTTTACATTCCTTTCAGTTTACATTTAATATATAACCGAAGCTTTACGGTATGCTATTTAGTAAAGGTCATTACAGACGCCTATTAAAACCATAACAGATCGATGGGTTACTCACGGGGTGGCAGGAGGAAGACTCTCTCCTGCTCAGAGCACGGCTCTCCACTCAGCACAGCGGCTTCCAGTGCCAAGCAGGTGCAGCCCTGCCACGGCTGCCTGCCTCCCTCACTTCCCCAGACACGGCAGTGGGAGCCCTGTGCTCCTCAGGCCCAAAAAAGCAGAGATGGAACCCGCCTGACACAAACCTCGGCTTGCTGTCGCCGTTGTTCTTTATATGTGCCCCAAAGAGAGAAGTCAGCAGCCTGGATGTGAGACGCCAGGAGCTCAGCCACCCAACTGCCTTGGGTTGGGTACCTTCAGAAGGAAGTCTTGGAGCGCTCCCCGTGCCCCTGCTCTACCGCTAGCAGGATGAACCGTGGCCATCAGAGACCAGGGCTGGCAAAACCAAATTGATGCCTGGTCCCAAACTGTGTGCCCCCCATCCAAAATCCCCTCCGGGTTAAAGGACAACCGCTCCTCAGTTCAACAGCGTTATGAAGAACTACTGTTTATTACAATGACAATTGTAATAAGTACATATGTTCTAATAAACACAAATACAATGAAAATGACAATTCCCCCATCTGTGGTGATTCCCGGAAATAATTCCTTTGGAAAATATGCATTTTTATACACCAGATCTTACTTGTACCCAATCAAAATCAGGAAGGGAAGCACTGCCCTGTTGTTGGTTGCAGCACTTTTGGTGTCACCGGGCTGGTGCTGGAGGCACAGCCAGGAAACCCTCAATCCGGATGGTCCAAAACTCTTCTGCGGGGCAGGGGGAGTGATCAAGGGAACTGAAATACCTGTTCTAATGTCTAGCAGTATTCTATATATTGCCTGCGGCGCAGCACAACAGCAGCGTTGTCACATTTCACTCAGAGCCACTTAGCTGCAAAAGATTTCTTGGGAATAGAAAGCCGCATGCGAGTGTGTGTGTGTCTGTGTGTGTGTCTGTGTCTGTCTGTCTGTGTGTGTTGGGGGGCTGATTCATTAAAACCCTTTCTGTGGAAGCATCAGCTGGGAACCTGAGCTTGAGGTTAGGTTAGCTTTAGACCTAAGGTGATTCTGCTGTTCTATGGGCTTTTGAACTTTTCAATGACTGCAGACTGAGCTGGGACTCCCAAGTACCTGCTTAACTAGAGGAAAATTTGGAATTCAGAAAATTAAGTGAGAGGCCAAGAATACCAAGCATAAAATACTCAGAGCAACCAGAATGCACAGTTCCACAATAAAAACAAGGAATGCTTTGTACACTTCAAGATATTTCTGTTGATAAAATACCATCCTTTAGAACAGGGTAGCAGAGACCGTTCTGGAAGGGAGCACTCTCACCACAGGCACCTCCAGGTTTGATGCATTTGTGCAGCATGCTGGCTTCACTGGAGGACTCAGCCAAGTGCGGTGCCCCTGGCCAGTTGGATGGGCACACCACCTCAAGGAGGACTCCTTGACTCCTCTTCGTGCTTCAGAAGCAGCCTCGGCACCCACAAGGTGCTCATCACCACTTCTAGGGGGTTGGGAGGTTTTCAGGGCTGGTTCTGTGGTTGGTTTCCTCATCCATGCTTGTGTCGGGGCAGCAGAGCGGAAGGAAACAGTTGCCCTGCTTTGTCCTCTTCTGAGGGTGCGGAGCCAAGTGTGATGGCAGAGATGGTGTCCTGCAGCTACACCTGTGTCAAGGAGATTTCTGCACCTCCGTCAGCACTGTGCCCTGTGGAGGCGGAGCTGCAGCTGCAGGCTGGGACAGAGTTCCTCAGGAAGGAAGAAAAGCTAGGAAATGTCTATTGACTAGTCAAGAAACTGGGAGGGTTTTGAAGAACTTAAGTGGATGTCTGTCCTCCAGAATTAAGCCAAAAAACATACCATGCAGCTTTCTAACACAAGGTTTTAAATCTCTCCTAGTGAAACAGATGCCTTGCCTCTCATTTGGTAAAGGCAGGAAAGGAACAAACGTGAGCAACACGAGCATTTTCCTCCACAACACATCTCATCGTTATGGCTTGAACATGACTTCCACTGTATCCCTTTATTCCAATTGTTTGACCAAATTTATGCCTCAGGGCAGACGTACAAGAAAATGCCAAAGCACCACAAAAGTGAGAGACACAGCTAGTGGTACGGTACTTCTTGCCACACAAAATGCCAATATAAATATGTTAGAACAAGTTACAAGTGTATCATACTTAAGACAAAAAGGAAAAAAAATAAATATATATATTTTCTTAAAGAGCAGAACAAATCTCAAGCAGCCAAGTGGTAAAGTTGCAGTGATGTACAGTAGGTGATGTAGCCCTACAGCCTCTCGGGAGGATACACTGAAAGAAGACTTCTGCAAACGCATCTTGGCAAAGTATGGGTACAGAATGCAGTGGTTGGCTGGCACTCACTATGGTACATAAATGTTAATGGCAGACTGGGAGTGAACTGATTTCAAGTTTGAGGCCACACATGTTCCATTCTCCAGAAGAAAGTTCTCACACAAAATGAAAATTGTCAGAGACGCTGCGTGAATCAGTACTCCTCCTGCTGCTGGGGCTGTTCGTGGACCTGCTCTTCGCCTTCATGCTCCTCTGTGTGGCTCTCCTGTGGGCAGAAAAACACCCCAAAACATCCTTCAGCAGAAGCATGTCATCATCTCCTCCCCCTCTGAGTTCAACTAGCCTCAAGCTTAACTTTTAATTTTCCTTCCAATGAGCAGACAGCAGTAGCTGACAATTGTAAGGTTGCCCCCAGTTTGCTTCAATACCCTTGAACTGGTTCCATCTCATCTCCCTGCCTGCACCCAGCCTTTCTATTTGTCCTTTCACAAGGCTGTATCTGTACAACTGCATGAAAGCAAATGACACGCTTGATATATTAACATTAAATTAAATTAAGACATAAAACTGACATAAATGCTAACTCCCAGGTAACATAAAGCTGAGCCATGGTACAAATGAAACTTTCCATAGCTCTTTTGCACTACTTTCTATTTAATTGGTCTTAAATACCTTCTGTTTGCTGAAATCTGTTGCTGCAGCCTATGGAGTGTGAGTAGTGGCACAAAACTCAAGTGGAGTTAAAAAAAAGAAGTTGATGGAGTAATCAGGTAAGTGCATGTTGGCTTGTTTTCTTGACTGTTCATTGTTTCTCTAGCACTTAAGGTGCTGCACATCGACATAAAGACAGACACAGAACTGTTGCCTCAGAAATACAGCATCTCATGATATTACAATAAAATGCATTTACTTTGTTTTTAACCAGCGTGCGTGCAGCACTGATAGATCCCCAGAAAAATGTCAGTTCTCAGCACTATGGTGTT